AACCCAAGCCAGATTATAAATACTGGACTCAAGATTCTAAGAATTTCTAAAATACTACTACTCATTTCTGCTAGTACAAAAACAACATTGAGAAAATTAAAACACCGAAGTAATGAGAACATGTTTGGGGATGCATATGATGCATATTCCCTTATCTTTCTTCTACCAGTCAACTATATAGCACGTCAGAAACTTTCGGACTTGATTAAACAACTTCACTCAGGTATACATTATTCCAAAACAGTTACATGTTGAAGTATATAAGAATGAGTGATTGAGAGCAGGGGAAGCAAAAAAATAAGGGGGAGGGGTATAAAAAGAATTATTCACTAGTAATATCCAAAGTTAACTAAAAACATCCTATAAAAAGCTAGTGAGTGAACCACATATAATTCACAGTGAGCCAAAATGAAGCCAGGTGTTCTTTGAAAGCCTTAAATCCCAGCATTCAGAAAACAAAGACAGGTAGATTTCTGAGGTTCTAGCCAGCCTGGTCTACATAAAAAGTTCTAGGACTTTAGGACTACAAAGAGAAAACCGATTTCAGGAAAGAAAGACAAAAATAACATACTGGGCCACAGTGAAACAGCTTCCCAACTTGCTGCTGGTTATAACATCTTAAATAAATACCAAGTCTCTAGAAGTACAAAAACTAGGCTTCATCTTTGACTTAATTCCTGAAACATATTAAATGTCATATACTACACTTACATAAGAATTCCATCCCATCAGCTCGCAGGAGAAATGCTTACCAACTCCCACTGTCTACAGTTCCAGAAGTCCATGGTACTTAATGCAGTATAATTAATTTCCTTTTTCCTGTGTTTGCTGAACTAGTACCTACCAACTTTTAAAAACTTTCCAGCAGGTTCCTTTCACAATCAATAAAAAGAGAGATCTACACTAACTTAATGATAATGTTGTTAATCATTTTATTAACTAAATATTTTAGATAAATCCTAATGGTAACATTAAATTTTAAAGTACAAGATTTCTTGTTCACTCTTGAATGTACTTGGTCTCTAACCCTCCAAGAACGATCAGTGCACACACTTGCAAAACGTGTTACACCGATGAGTGCACAGCACTACAGACAATTCTAGAGGAGCTTAAATCGTTCCCAGGGTATCTCCTCTTGCTATCCATCCACTCACAGGGAAGTAGTTCATTTTAATGTTCTCATTGTTTACCAGAAAGCATAGACAGTACGGCTGACTTTGCCGCTCCCGTTTCCTTTTGCTGGCCTGCTGAGCTTTTGCAGCCAATTGACTTTGCTTTGACGCTATAAATATCTGGGAAATGTTCTGCATTTGATGCTCTTGGATTCTGCATCCATATTTAGCTGTTTGTGGCATGTCTTTGTTTAAGCTACTCTACCACTCATAAACTCAATCAGGTTGAGCTCTAACATGGCAAAGTCAAGACGGACTGATACTCAACACCTCTTTACTATGAGGCAAAGCACCAATCTGCTAGGCCTGATGACAATAAAGGAGGTGGCAAAGTACGGATATAAACAAGACAGATTTCCTAGTGTCAAAATTTTATTGTCACAATTATTGTAATACTGGAATGAAACATTTTGCTTAAATAAAGGACAGCATAAAGGTTTTCTCTTAGCTGTGTCTTAACGACTTGCATTTGTTTGTGCTTTAAATATAGATCCACCTACTACAAAGCTCTGAACATATTCCAAAGTAGTTTTCCAAATCATGGCAATACACAAAGCTCTGGATCAGTCAAAGAGCCAAACCTGTTACCCACAAAGTAAAAACAGTGCCAGTCTTCAGATCTGTTAAAGAAAATACTGCACCTAAAAGTTTCTGTTAATATTCTTAGGAAGGGAGAAATATTTTTGTTTGTTTTTTTTCAAAGAAAAGTCTCGAAGATGACGTGAACTGCGGGCAGCAGCCAGGATCACTCGGTACTTCTAGCAGTCTACCTTTAAAATAGTGTAGATCCCACACTGCGTAAGCCAGACCTGAGGAATACATCCACCTTCCTAACGTGTGACATATCCTAAGCAGAAACACATCTCGCTGACTTTTTCTTTCAATTCAGTTCACTGACCTTTTGATGAAAGGGCTCCCCAAGAGTCCTCCTGACAATGATGACTTAAAAAGTACTGAATTAAGAGCTTGCTCAGTGACTGGCTTCTGAAGTCGGGATGGAATTTGTAAGCCAAACAGTAGTTAAATAATGGGACCAACTAAACCAGATTCCATATTTGATGTACAAACTTAGAGCCAGGAGTTAAAACTATTTGTCCAAAATTAGAGAACCAATCTGTGACAAAGCCAGAATTGAAAGCCAGGTTCTTACCCTCCAGTCATGTACTCTACACAGGGTTCCCAGTTCCTGGGGTTCTTTGAAATAGGTGGACCACAATGAAAAAAAATCTCAAATTATGTAGATCAAATATGACCCAAGAGAATCAGTTTTTAATACACAAAGCAGACAAAAAACAATAAAAACAAACTAATATTTCTTAAATTTTTACTTTCCAGCTGGGCATGGTGGCTCATGCCTTTAACCCAAGCTCTGGAAGTAGATAGAGGCGGATCTCAGTGAGTGTGAGACCAGCCTGGTCTATATGTCAAGTTCCAGGTCAACCAGAGATAAATAGTGAGAACCTGTCTAAACAATAAATAAATATGATTTTAAAAACTGATTTTCCATATTCTGTTATTCTGACTTCAAAGACTCACACAATAGACAATTTTAAAACAGCCAGGCATTGTTTAGTTTGGAATGTTTGTAGCGAACTACGGACAGCCAAAGCAACGTCCAGGGTGAACTTCCTTAGAAGAAAAGCAGCAGTATTAAACAGTAAATAAAAACAATTTTTAATTGACTGACAGAAATCATACATTTAAAAAGAGATGATACAGTGGGAATTCTGCTACTTGACAAATGCTCCCTCTGAATGCCTTCTTGTGTATGAATGTGTGTGCATGTAAGCCAACTACTCCAGACTTCACACTGTGTGCAGAAACCTGGAACCAGGGGTTAAAGCCCAACGTGTACAAAGTTAAGTGACAACCAAGCTGTGGCAAAATCAAAAAGAAAACCATCAGGTTCACAGCCCTAGTTGTATGTTTCTAGGTGTAGAGATGTAAGGCAGGGTGTGTTTATGTGTGGGCAAAAACATGCATGCAAGTCAAGTTCTAGAATAGACTATCAAAACAACAGTATAAATCTATATGGGTTCTATGTGAAGGATGATATTTAAAATAACAGCTAGAATACCCAACTTTCTGAACACTCATTTACATGTTCCTAAGAGTAACATGGTCCTATCTCTAACATCATAAATTAGCAAAATGTAACCACAATGAATCCTAATTTATATTCAATTTTAGACTCTCATCAACCTGTCATAAGTGATCAGCTAAACTGAACCTGCAAACAGGTGGACTATCAGGCACCAAAGCTTTTAATCTAACCTGAGAAGCATAAAGTGAGTAACTCTGTATCAGTTCCCACTCCTTTGCTTTAATTCTTACACACACGCACACAAACACACTCACTCTTAGAAACATCAGCAAAATACAAAGCAAAATACAGAAATTTCTAAGAACTAGTCATAAGTTGCTGATTTTTTTGATTGAAAAGAACTTTCCAGAATATCTAATCCAATCCATTCACTTTCCAGATAAGGAATCTGAGGGGGGGAAATGACCTAATCTGCCCTCAATTACTTAATAAGTTTAGTGAGAGAACTGAGGCAAGAACTCAAATGTCTGAGAACTTTCTCACAGAGATAGACATGAAGTCTTGAAGTCAACCGAACCGTTCAAAGACAACTTGCAAACCATGCAAACGTTGGTCTTGAATTATAAAGCGCAGACCCTATTTGGAAGCATGAAAGCAAAAAATAAATATAATATGCTGATCACTAACAGGCGTAGATGCACATGACTGCAGAATAGCACTCAACACTGTACTTGATCCCAGATGCTCCATACTGGTCATCTTATATTCAGCCACATGAGCTAAGTGATAAACATCTTGCTATTTCAATATTTTGGAAAGCCGCAGTTACACTGTGAATGCAGATTACAAATCCTGGGGCTGTGAGTTTTCAAAACCAGCATGTTTAATGTTGTCACGGCCTTACCTTACGAGAAAATCATCACTCAGTTTTAATTTACAAGGTGGTTAGTAGGAATGCAGAAAGAAAAAGTTTTTAGTGTGTTCATCACTTTAAACCTGCTGAGTGGCAACCCGGTGGCTTTGCAATGAAAACCAGAAACAACAGTGCAATCTGAAACAATCTATGCACTCAGGACGAGCCGAGAGTAAGGTTCCAAGGAAAGCTGTAGACAAATCTACTGCTACCAAACCCTTGAATCTGGACTGGGGCTTGCTCTCTCTCACGCTGTTTTGTTGTTTGTTTTTGTCGATTAGCTCATCTTCTACTAAGATTCTCATATCTTCGTTCCCAGACTTGCTTCACTCAACAGGAAGGAAATGAAATCCCATTCACTTGGTTGTGTGTCTTATTCCATCATACCTTCCTAAAGACTCAGAAGCAAGTGTCCTTAATTAATCACCGAAGAATTACGTCTAGACAGCTCAACTCCATAAACTTACTGTGGATATCTAAAGAAGTCCAAAGATTCTACTAAGTCACATACCCAGGCGCTATATTAGATAAACTTGTCAAAAAAACGCATTGCCTGAAACAAAAAGGGATGTGGGCAGCTGACCTAGGATAGATGGGGTCTGGGAATGCAATGGAGCCCAAGGCAAGAGAAGAAACGCCGGCTTTTAAGTCAGACGGCCTGTGATCCTTACCGTACACTCGGACCCAGCTCTGCTGCTGACACACCGACTCCAGAAGGATCCGATCCAGCATGCCACCGGCTACTGCCCCGCTGACTGGGACAACCGCGTCCAGATCCTCCGGGGGCAGCGGCGAGTCGGACTCCAGCCCCGAGAACATCTCCGGCCACGACAGCGCCTCCGCGGCTCCTCCGGACGACGGGGAGAGCTCCATGGTGTCCGGGGGGGGGAGAGCAGGCGGCGGCCGGGCGGGCTCCCTGGCTGCGGGAAAGGGACGACGGTGCGGTCACCAGCACCGGAGCGGCGGCGGCGGGCGCGGACGCCGCTCACCTCCTTCCCCGCCGCCCACCGCCCGAGGGCCGGGCGCCGCAGCCCACCTGCAAGCGGAGGGTGGGACCCGGGCCGGGAGGCGGGTCCAGCGTGGCTCGGAGCGGAGGCGGGACCCGGCTCAGGTGCGGGTCCGGAGCGGACGCGGTGCACCGGGGAGCGCGGGCTCGCCTCACGCCCCCGCGTAGCCTTCCTCAGCCCCGGCGGGCGCGTCCGAGAACGGCCCGGGCTCGGACTGAGGATGGAGCGCGGCCAGGCAGGGCTGGGCTGGGCTCGGGGGCGTCGCCGCCAGGGGCCGCCCCCTCTGACCGGCTCCCGCCGCCGCCGCCTCGGGGGCACAGAGCGCCGGCTCAACGTGAGGGGCGCGCCCGGCCCGGCTTCTGTCCGCCTGGACTAGGCTCGCTCCTGCGGAACGCGCAGGCCGGCCCGCTAACTCTCAGGCCGCCGCTCCGGCCGCTGCTCGGGCTCCGGCTCGCGCTCCTCTGTGAAACCCACAAGCCCGGCAGCCGCGGCGCTGGCGGCGGCGGCAGGCGGCATCCCAGGGTGATAGGCCGGAGCAATCGAGAGCCGAGCGCACGGCCGCGTGTGCAACCCAGTAACCGAGCGGAGGAGGAACTGCCGCCGAAGACAGCAAAAATCGGGCACCGAGATACTCATCGGGCCAGGCCCGCCTACTTTCCAAAGTCTGTTCCGCCCGACCGCCTCTCTGTGCGTGATCCTTGAGCTGCTGCTGCTGGAAGCAGAGACCGTGTGGGGAGGCGGAGAGAAAGTGGGGTGCGGGAAATTTAAAAAGATGGGGAAAGCGCTCCCCTTTTTTCTTAGCCCCTTTCCTGTTGATTTCTGGACCAACGCTCCTTTCTCCTTGGACGAAGAAATTGAAGACCCTGCTTTATTTAACAGTCGCCGTAGGGGAAACGCCATCGTTCTTCCAGAAGGAAGATCCGGCCCCGGTCCTTGGATTCTGAGATCAGTGCGAGGTCCCCGCTTTGCGCCCTGTCCGCCCTGGAACTGGATTTATCATCAGTTTAGAACAGCTTGGCTACGATGTGTGGTGTGGATGGATGGACGGGCCTCGCAAGTACATGAAATGCCCCCAAAGCCCTAGCATTAACTAAACAAACCTCTCTTTTCTGCCTTTGATCTTTGTGCAATCTGTTGGCTTCACTTTTCCTCTAACAGTATCACTTGTGTTTTATTTTTGGCTTATTTGTAAACTCTCTCCCTCTTCAATGTTGGCTTCATTTTTGTGCCCACCCAAGGCGGGATTCACCAGTCCAGGTTTCAGAGACTGCAGGCAAAATAATAATAATAATTTTGAATAGAACATTTGCAACTTAAATTGTATTGGCACATCATAAATATTCAACAATTCATAAACGTGGCTACTTCGAACCGAGCAGACGTTTTCCATAATTAGTTACTGCTTTTTAAAATAAATCTTTTCGGGGGGAGGATTTTTGCTTTGTGTTTCACCCACCCCAGCCAGCCTTCATTTCTCTCTACTTTGAACAATAAGACCTCTAGAAGAGGTCAATCTAGTTTGGGCACCCTGGTGTGTTGTTTGGGCTTTGTGGGAGTTAGAAGGTGCATTTTGTAATTTTCTCCTAATTCTTACATAGAAGCAAGTGACTTCGAGATCCTTTCATCCTGCCTCTTGTTTAACAGGTGCAAACAGGACAGTCCAGGTTACCTGACAAAGCGACCAACCCTGCAACAGGTACTTCTACAAGCGCTCCTTGATGCTGATTTCTTCAACTTTGATCTCTGTGATTGGATTTGTTAATCTGTTGCTTGGCGATGTAGTGGAGTGATCCCCTCCCAGTATGTAGAAACCCGCGTACTTCTATCTGACTGTATAGCCAGTTGTCCAGTTCCAAACCATTATACATTCTCATAGTAAATGAGAGGTGTTGAAGTGAGGAATTACAGGGTCCGGCACTAAACAAAGCTAGTGGGGTTGTTGTTGTTGTTGTTTGGGGGAGGGGGGTTGTTAATTTTTGTTGGGGTGGTTGTTTTTGTTTTGTTTTTCTTTTTCGAGACAGGGTTTCTCCAGGGCCCTGACTGCCCTGGAGCTTGCTTTGTAGCCCGGGCTGGCCTCGAACTCACAGGGATCTGCCTGCCTCTGCCTTATGAGTACTAGGATTAAAGGTGTGCAGCACCATGCCCAGCTTATCGCCAATGTGTAAAGGTCTTTGAGGGGACATGCTCCTCTGCAGGAGAGAAAACCCTCAGCATAGTGTTTTCATTTGCATTAAATTATTGTTGATATCTCAAAGAATAAGTGAATATGGGCATCAGACATACAAATTTGAGTATCTTCTATATATGTGGAATGTATTTACCCAAGCAATTATCCCTAAAGCAGGATTAGGGGTGGTACATAAAATTCAGAATTTTTTTTTTTCAAAATTTGTTCTCAGTGTCATCATCCATGTTAAGAAAAAGGCTCTGCCAAGCTCCCACTAATCCTGCTGTCTTCACACAGACCAGTAAGGTCCTGATCCCTACTTCACTTTGGCATCTTGAGCTTAGTGTGACTTCAAGGCATCATCTAATTCAGTAATATATGTCTGGAATTTATCGGAAATCTCTAGCTTTAAAAGAAAATACTTTCAAAACATGAACAGTAAATAATTCTGTGACAGAAGCAGAATTTTAAAAATCATCATTAGCAAATGAGAAACAAATTGAAGTATGGAGTGATATTAAACAGTCTATCTGAAGATAACTAGATTAAAATGCTAGCCTTCTGCAGGACAGGATGACGTATGCTTATAATCCCTACTGGGAGGTAGCGGCAGGAGGATCAGGAGTCAAGGTCACCCTTAGGAACAAATAGATGTGGGGACCAGCCTGTCTACTTGAGACTCTGAACAAAATACAAATAAGAAACTTTTAATAACCTATTTTTTAAAATCTCATATTAAATCTGCATTCCTAAGGATTTTTGTTTTGTAGCAAGTGGAGTTGTTCTGACATTTCTAGAAAATGTGTATTTTTGCAAGTGATTGTCATTAAAAAAATAATATAGAGAAACAAAAACAAGAAGTGATAAACCAATTTGCATTGCTGCTTAAATCTGTGCCTGTGGCATCTCTGTGATATAATCCCAGGTTTTCAGAGGAAGACAGTTTCGGGTGATAAAAATCTTAGTTTGCAGACAGACCTTTGTGAGATTAATTTCCTTACCGTGGCCTCCCATCACTTTGCTCTCTGTTGTAGACCTTTAGAGATGGCCAGCATGTGCATAGTCATTGGAACTCTTAGCCCCCAAATCAAATCCGCCAAGTAGGAACTGAAATTGAGAACCTGTGCATGTATGTGAGGGTTAAGGGGAGGACTGACCTAGCTGATGTTCTAAAAGTCAAAATCGAGGAACAGTTTGAGGTTTCTAAAGCACAAAGAGGTCAATGGTTGGAATCTTAAGGAGAGATGAGGCTTTGAATCTTGGCTGTCTCAGCTTCAAGGCTATGTTGTGCTTGTGTGTCTTCCCCATCCATTTGTTGGAAAATGCACATACCTCAGGAGGTCACTCATTTTTTTATACCCTATGTAAGTGTCCTTCCCCTTTCTCTCAACAAATAAGCCCATTAAGTGGGAAGCCAACTTTCCAGCTGTGACATGTCTGCACTGCCTTCCAGTATTCCCTTTCTTCTTGAGCATGGAGACCTCGCACTTTCCTGATTGCATTCCAGATGTCGATCATAAGGGAGAGTTTTCAACCTTCCCCTCTATCTCCAATTCCCTGATAATCCAAGCACTTGTATAAGTGTAAGATGAATAATGTTGAGTTCGGGGTACCCATCACTACCCCATCTGTAGTGCTGAGGTCCAGTCAAGACTTTATAAATGTTGAATACATCCACCAAGATGGCATTTCCTGAATGCTTCACAAATAATCTCTTCCTGTTTTCCCTTTCCTCACCCAAGCAGCCTTCCCATCTCTAATTCATTAAAAAGGAACTAGTAGATTCTACTTAAGACTTACAAAACTAGTCATCTGATACCCTCGAGCCTCAGACCTGATTAGCTACCCTCTTTCCCCTGGGGACTCTCCACCTGCAGTTTTATCTTACCTTCCTTGGAGGTGAATTATAAAGCATAGCTCAGATCAGATCACAGAAAACTAACTTTTATTTTAAAGTCCCTTGTTGCCTACAGCAAAGAGAAATGCAGAACCATCCTGAGCGTAAAAGGACTGTTCAAGTGTGGTCCCAAACTATCGAAGGGACCTTCCTCCCTCTCTGCATCCAACCAGCATGGCTCACTCCCCAAAATAGCCAGCTGTTTCCTTACTCTTACCTTCAGGAACGCAACCCCATCAAATACTACTGGTTTCTATCAAGTCATTCTTTATTCTCCAAGCTGGCGATGACCTCGGCTTCCCCTGAGTCCCCATACCATTTGTTCCTGTTTCACTTCTGGGATCAATCACAATAAATAAGATGGTATAGTCCTGTCTGTAACTCTTAATATCCACATAAGAGGTTATAAACATGAAGGCAGAGACTGAGTTATACATGTTTATTCTCCCACAATGTCTTTCTCCTATCAAACTTCCATTGACACCGGAAACCAGGAAATAAGGAACCTAGATTAAGAGACAATGAAAACTTTGTTTTGTTCTTAGACATGTGGGACTGCAAAAGACATTAAAAACCAGGTTGATGGGTGCAGTCATTCCATTCATTTCCTGTCCTGCCCCTCCTCGGTTGAAAATAAGCATACCTGGCTAAGTATGGTGGTGAATGCTACTGAGACCAGCCTGAGCAGTACAGTGAGATCCCCTCTCGAAAGAAATTAGAATGAACATGTGAACCCTGAAAAATGACTAGACTCGCCCAAGGTCATATAGCTAGAGACACAGGAAGAAGTCAAATTTGAGTGTTCTGAACCTTAGTCCATCCAGTCCAAAGCTTAATTGCTTCTTACCCTCTTCTGTGCCCCTCTATGGTTACTTTTCTTATTGTTAAAGGTTTTCTCGGTAAAGCAACTTTATTCTCTACATATTATTGAAACTTAAAGCATTGTGCCACATTCCTGAACCCCACATGTAATTTTAGCAAAATTATGCTTTTTTTTTTTAACCGAAGGACCAAACAGAGACATCAGAGAAACATCTGGTATGATGAATCAGGGCAGCAGCAACATTTCTATTTATACATGAGCACAGCCCTATCTTTGTAGCTCTCAGCTGTTGCTCATTGCTCAGTATGTTCCCCTTTTCAACCTTGTCTGTCCCTCATCAAGATAGCATCCTGCATCCTGGGTTATAAGCAGAACCTAACATAATAAGAGAAAAATGTTTTCCTTAATTCCTAAAAAGGTTCTGAGTTTTAAAGAAACTCTTTGTCTACTTTCTCAGTCCCTTTGTCCTGGAGTATGGGATGACAAGTCTCAAGTGGTCCCGTAGCTACCACTCCTTCCCCTGCATTCTTGGTAGAAAGATGTATGAGAACCAAAGCTGAGCTGGAAGTTATGTTTGGAAGCAGATCGGGTAAAGAGAGCAAATGTTGTAAGTAGGGAAGCTGGGGCCTCACAGCAACATTTGATGATGATTAGAAAAATAGAAGCTACGTGATCTTAGGTAGGAATGAGTGCAAACGGGATGGAAGGAAGAAAGCCAGGCCACCCTTTTGTACATAGCCCATGTGCCCTAAGAGAAAGCCACTCCTTGTAGCAACCACTGACAATGCTGTTTGGAAAAACCATGAAACTTGCCA